ATATATATATATATATATATATATATATAATTCGCCAATGTGTTTTGATGTAAAATCTAATATTCACTGCTAAAATTCATTTCAATACAGAAAAAGAAAACGAAAAATCATAACAAATGCATGAGATGGACTCATTCAAAGTATATGTTATTGATAGAAATAAGTATACAAAATTATTAGTCAGTTATAACTAATAGATATACACATATAGAAAAATATTATAAAACACAAATCTTATATATAATTACTTTTTTGGTCCACGCTAACAAAAATACATCAAATATTGGTATTAATCTCCTACTTAATGAAATCAAGATGCGTGGGTATCACAAATTTTAGATCTGCGAGAAATATTTAAATTGCTAAGATTTTACGCGGAAAATCACATCAATGAGTGAAGTTTAAATTGTCGTGGCGTCTTCATGTGCGTATATGTATACGTATGTGTGCGCTAACACGCGCATAGTGTTTTGCATATCCCCTAATGATTATCGACACACATAGGAAACATGTTGACAAAATTGGGTTTTGTCCGTTCCTCAATTATTGTGGCAGCCTCTAACAATCTCCAATACATCAAGAAAATGGTTTTGTCATTAAATTCACTGTGTTACGTTACCATGTCCATCATTTATGGGCCCTTTTCTCCACATCAATATTGTTCTTATTAAGTACCATATGTATATGTTGCATGCATCCATGTTGTTTTTCGCCTTTGGTGATTTAACGTTAATTTACCAAGCTAATTAAATATCGTTTTTGTTTTGTCGACATGCCTTGCACAGCTTACATTGAAATGAATAGGAACTATAATAAATTAATTTTAATGATTTAATAATTCTATAAGTATAAGATATTAGTTAAATTAATTATACAATCATAAGGACCACCGTAAATTCTACTTAGTTTGTTTTTTATATTTGAGATTAATAAGTGAACCAGTTAAACAAAGAGCCAGAGAACGTCATTTGAAAACAGTTTCATAGAGATCAGATGGATTATATGGAATGTATAACCAAGAAAAAAAATATTAAGTTATAAGCCAAATTCAAATGGGTTGGCTTTGAACCAATCGATCACACCAACCTTTTTATGCTGTAGTACATGTTTAGAGTTCAATTTTTAGTTGATATATAGAAACGTTTCGTATTGAAACTATATATATATATATATATATATGTGATCTTAATGTTGAAGATTCAAATGATTTGTATAAAGGAAACAATTAGTTTTTATGAATTTTGAAAATTAGCTACGACAAATTTCACATGATCGTTGGGGAGAAGGCGGCGTACAATTTAATTGAGTGTATAGATTACTTCTAAATTTTGAAAGATGTAGTTGGATCGAAATTTCGGTGAATTTATGAGTTAAAAAAATCATATGAAACAACTTTTAAAATTGAAAAAAGAAAGAAATTTAAACTCAAAGGAAAAAATATATAGTTTGAGTTGAGGTAGTTCTTAAGAGGATAATACTGAAATTAAAAAGAAAAAAGAATATTGGATGACTAGTGTCCCATGAGACACCTCAAGGCCAAGATTTCTTGCAACTTTGGTTTTTCTTGAAACTTCCCACCATAACTAACTTCTTATATATTACACAAGCATACATACATATGGCCCCCCAATCCCCAATGTTATAATATTATAAGAAATTCTAACTTGTCATCTTCTAATTAAATATTATTCTATATCATTATTTTAATCATATACTCCTATTTCCCTAACTATATATACACATGTATATATATATATATACATATATACACAAAGACACCTACACAGCATTAAAAAAAAAATTTAAAAACGCCATCTCATCTTTCTCCCTCCCCCTTCCTAGCTCCCGTATAAAAATTCCCATGATCTCTACAATATTCTCCTAGAAATTTTACAAACATACATACATATACACAAAAATATTTTACTCTTTTCTTCTCGGAATATAATAATCCAAAAGAGAGATTTCATGGGTTTGAAAGATATTGGAGCGAAACTTCCACCAGGGTTCAGATTTCATCCGAGTGATGAAGAGCTGGTCTGTCATTATCTTCGCAACAAAATTAGGGCCAAATTCAATCATCATCATGATGGTGGTGGTGATGATGATGATGGTCATGAGGATGACGCCGAAGCTAATATGAAGAATAATGATCTTGTGGAAATTGACTTGCATACATGCGAGCCATGGCAGCTTCCAGGTAATATCAATTTCCCATATCACGATTCAGTACGTATTTATATACGTATATTCTATATATCTGCGTATATTATTCCAACTCTCTTCTCTGTTGGGTCCAAACTCTTGCTGTTTCTTGCAAGGAATCTGAACTTATTTTACCACAAAAAGAATATAAGAGGTTATGAAAATCAGATTTTATTCCGAACATTAGTTAATTATAAATTAGAGTCGTGCCTGAGATTAAATAATTATTAATTGAGATTCTACAGTTGCATAAAATGATACTGCTGATCATATAATAAAGTTTTGATTTACTGATAATTAATGCTTTTAGTCATGGAGGATATTTTGTAATTTTATTAGCATGTGAGATGTGGCCTCAAATGATTGAGTCTACGTTTCCCTCGCACTTACATTGATTATATGTGAAGGTACATGGATGCATGTTAATTGTTACCATGGCTCCCCATATTTAATTTAAACCGATGAGTTCATATGCAAATATTTCTATCCCATCATACGTATAACAAATTTTCAAATTCTTGATTTTTTTTTTCCTTTCTCAAATATAAAAAAGAATTAACGATCAAATATTGTATGCAAGTTCTTGTTTTAGTAATAGATTCGTAGATTAATTAATTAATTAATTAATCATGAACAATTCTACTTTGATCTGTTCAAATGCTAAGAATCTCATATACATACAAAACGCGTACGCTGATTGTAAAACGCGGCATGTTCACAAACGTAAGCTCCAAACGCTAGAATACGCGTCGGTTAAATTATCTAATATACTGTATGGAAATTAGGTTAGTCCCATATACAAGATGATATCGATTAATTCTACCTATTCGTAAGAAATGCAAAGCATGATTATGCCCATAACGGAGATAACGTGTGAGAAGGGGGTGCAAATTTTTAATTTTATATGCCAATTGTATCCGCCTCTCATTTTCGAATCGAGAACGAGATATATATATATTGAATCTAGAAACTAATCTCTTTTTTTTAAAAAAAAAAAAAAAAAGAGGGATTATTTTTTTTCATAAATAGGTCCTATTTTATTCAACTATACGTACATGGTATCCATAATATTAAACATCCACTCAAACATATATATATATATATATATATATATATATATATATATATAATCAGAATATACATAAGTACAAATTCCCTCAAACATGTGTGGGTATATTTTATTTTGTAAATCAAGTAATCACTCTATCAACTTGTACCGTAGGATATATAAAACAAAGATGACGTGAGTAATATTATCATGCCATAAATAAACTAGAGATCGTCTTCATGCACATACATAATGTTCTCTTTCTTTCTTTTTTGGATATTTTGATTACCTTGAGAAATAAAGGAAGCTTTTTCAAAAGAATCATATTTGTTTCTTTCTGTAACCTTTGTCCTTTGAAATTACGGCTTTTGCGTGACTTTCTTAAAAGATTAATTTGTTACAATTTAAAAGATGATTAAGGGGAATATAAAGATGGTGTTGTAACTTGTTTTGTGATTACACAAAAACCCTTTTTGCAAGCAACTTAATTTATTCACATAAGAAACCGTTTACTCTTAGCTGCCTACCAATACCGTTAAATGAATGCATCGTACCATTGTGAGCAAACCAAATTCACTGCATACAAATGTATACACGCATGTGTTGTTGATGTTTTTTTTTTTTTTGTATTTTTAGTTCTGTTCAAAACGGTCGTATAAATTTTTGTATTCTTGAAATTGGATATGAAAATTTGATCCTCGAACATTAAGAGAAATACACACACAAACAAAAGATAGAGATCTGTACGTTATCATTACAAAGAACGAAATTAATGCGAAAATGACGTGAGGAATGTCTGAAGATAATTCATTAGAGCCTCTAGAAGTCAGAAACATAATCAGTGAAGCGAATAAATTCATGTCCCGTCGTTCGCGGTCCACATCACAAGTCTTTTTCCTCTTTATTTAACACTTTTTTCTCTTTCGAAAAACAAAACGTATATTTCTTTCTGAATTTGATATTTCGTGTGTGTATATATATATATTAAAACTGAATTATATTAGAAATGTTTTTCAAGTAAGGAAGTGTGCAAACGAGTCATGTTTTCTATAGATATATTACAGCTGTAACTTGTGAAATTATACAATTCAGGTATTTATGGAATTTATTTGTCTAACCTCATTAGTACTAATCCATGAGCTTTCAACACATAACATATATGTTTCTATATCATCTAAGTATATAATATAGTTGTTAGCCAAGATTGAGTTGCTCAACTATTTTGAGATGGATTAAAACTTTTTTTTTTCCAATTCAGATTTGAGTCTCTAATCGAGGAGAGATATTCATTTGGATTTTTCTGATCCTCTAGTAGATATAATTGGACCAAATATGCGATAGAAATTTTGGATTATATATATATAGTCCTGGTACTTGGAAAAGTGTATCGTTTAGTGAAAATCGAGAAACGTGACAGTGTTTTTTCAATCATTTTGTCATAAAGTTATAGAGAATTGCTGGCGGAACCCTAACAGGAAATTAGAAGATCTAACCATGTTATATACAAGAATACTGTTACATTCATTTCTTTGTTATTTCGAATCCAGTTTATAATTCGTGCAAACCCTTTAATTTATATGTTGCTAATACAATTTTTTTTTGGTGCATTTGCATGGGAATTACTACCACTACTACATAAAGACGTGGCGAAGCTTAATGTAAAAGAATGGTATTTCTTCAGTTTTCGAGATAGAAAATACGCAGTGGGATATCGTACAAATAGAGCCACGGTCTCTGGATATTGGAAAGCGACCGGAAAAGATCGGATGGTTGTGGATCCACGGACCAGACAGATCGTAGGGATGAGAAAGACTCTCGTTTTCTATAGGAACAGGGCTCCCAATGGCATCAAGACCACTTGGATCATGCACGAGTTCCGTCTTGAGTGCCCTAACACTCCCCCTATGGTACGTACTCTCTCTCTCTCTCTCTCTCTCTATATATATATATATATATATATATATATTATTCTTGCGTTTAGGCATATATATAACCATGTTCATTAAACAGCTTTTACTTTGCAATTACAATGGTATACTTCAATTCTATTGCTGAAAGTATAGAGATAATTATATATATCGTTTCCCAATGACTTTGATGTCCACCTACCTCTTAACATGCCAAAAAGACAGAAGATCGTATAGTTTTATTTAAATAGCTACGTGTACGTGGTTACATATGTCATGAGCATGTGCATGCATGACACCGAATGATCATGATTACATGGCAAATGAAGGACAAGAATATTGTGACAACAACTGATGTGGGCACGTCACCCTCGCAAATGAGGAAGGGGGAGAAAGTGGCTTTAAATATTGTTTGGCCATTTCCATATATTTGCACGCTGCCTAACATTAACCGTCCATGCATATTGTTGACCGAATTATTAATATGACATCTCATATGACATTTATTAAAATTGTTTCATTCTCGGAATGTGGACAGGAAGACTGGGTACTGTGTAGAGTCTTCAACAAGTGCAAAGAATCTCAATTACAAGAAGAGGAGTCGAGGTTTGTTATTAGTGATAATAACCTCAATTATGCCCCTAATTACACCCATTTGCCACGACCATCCCCTCCATCCAACGACATGGACTATCATCATCATCATCAAATCCCATGTGGATGGGGGCAGATGATGGGGCACCATCGACCATCATCATCCCCCACTTCGAGCAACATCCACCATACTCATCATCATGATCAATCGATGGAAATCCCATGTGGTTGGGATCAGATGATGGAGACTTTGTCCTCATCGTCTGGTCATTGTCCTCAGGCTCACGAGTCGTTGTTAAACATGTTTTACCACAGCGGCGTCATAAATGTCGCATCGACAGAGCGTTGCGACAACGAGGATAACTATAAAGGCATGTTCTCGGACATGGGTTTGGAGAAGGCATGCATTGGATCATCTTCTTCAGATATTCTCCTGGAAAATGATGGGTTGGGATTTGAGATTGACAACACTACAGCAGATTTCCAATGAAACAAAAGCAAAAAGCAAAAAACAAAAAAAAACACAAAAATACATATATTTATATACATGTATGTATACACGCCTATTGTTTATTTGTGATGTAAACATATAGATATGCATGTGCATTTATTCATGTAAGTTGTGTCTAGTATTGGGGTCTAGGTTATATATAGTTCTTGTGCAGTCTATACAGGGGGGGTGTCGTTTAGTTGGGAGGTTTTTTCATGTCGAGTGTGTTGATTGCTTTCATTTTTTTGTAAATCTGCCTCCAAGAATGTTGGAATTATTTATCATTTGACCGGTGATATCGATTTCGGTGTAGTGCGTCTATATATAGGAATACTTCGTATTTTAGGAGTTGAAGTGTAATTGATATATACTATATCATATATATATATATATATATATATATATATATATATATATATATGCCTACATGCACCTCATTACAACCTCATTAGAGAGATGGTTAAAATTAGCACGCCTTCTCCGCTGCAGTTCCAGCGAACCGTCTCCGCTGACGTGGCAAATGCCGCTGAAAAACTCCCTCCCTGGAAAAAGAAAAATGTCTCGGAAAAAAAAGAAACTCTCTCTAGTGCGCTCGCCGGATCCCCCTACTGGGTCTCCGCCACCTCCAAACACCGCCGCCACAGTTCCCGCTGCTACCCCTCTTTCTCCAATTCCCCCTATCGCCTCCTTATCTCAAGCCCAACCTTCTCCCTCTTCATCTCCACCTTCTCCAATTTCCCCTCTTTCTTCAGAAAACCCTAACCCCCAAATTCTTTCGACTTTGTCGGTACCTACCTCTGGTCCCCTTTCTACCCAGTTGGGTCCCCTTCTTCCAACCCCAGATATACTCCTCCCTAACGATTTCCCACCTCTCCCTGGCCCCCGTAGCCCACTAAAATCAAACCCACCTAGGCCTAACCTGGAGATTGCGGTGAACCCTTCTGTTGTGGTTTCGGATCCGTGTGAGCTGGTGACGGGGACCTGGGTTAAACGGGATTTTCCGTGGGCTCAGAGATTGAAACCTTCCTCTCGTAATCTTTCCCGGGTCACCACTCCTTCATACTCGGCGGATGGTACTCCTCGAGTAAGAGTTCCTGGATCTGTACTACTGGAGACCTCCAAAGCTTGGTCTGGCAATCTGATAGGACACTTCTACGGGCTAGCCCCCTCCGGCTCACGCATCTTCCAATCGCTCAACCCTATATGGGGTCGGAAAGCACGTATCCTAGTCAGGCGAGTGAGTGATACTTCCTGCCTTTTCCATATCCCAGACCTTGCTACGCGTGAATGGGCATTAGAGGTCGGAATCTGGCATGCCGGAGATGTTATGTTCTCATTGTCCGAGTGGACTCCAACATCTTCTCTCAGACAGCCGGAATTAACGTCTGCTCCAATTTGGATTACCTTGAAGAATATACCAGCCGAAATGTATTCACTCAAAGGGATTAGCTATATCGCCAGTGGTGTGGGTGAACCTCTGCATACGGAGAAGATGCGTCTCGACCCCCTTAGTGTCGGAGAGTCACGAGTCAAAGTGGAGGTCCAGTTGGGCGCTCCTCTACCTGCGATGGTTGAAGTTGAAGATGATAGTGGCGGTGTTATTAGGGTATCTGTGGTTTACTCATGGGTCCCCCCTCGCTGCAACCAATGTAACCAATTTGGTCATAAGGACTCAAACTGTCCATGCCCGAAACAGGACCTGCCTACTCGTAGCTCGGGTGCTCCTCCAGCAGATTCAATTCCGGTCTCACAGATCCCGGAAATTCCTCCAGTGGCACCTGTACCTACTGCGGCTACCAGCACTGCCTCGACAGAACTAGCACCACCAGCTGATACACAGAAGTTGGTTTCTCCCTTGCAGCCTCCGCAGCAAACTCCTGCTCCTCCGCCCTGCATTACTCGTACTATAGCTTCGAGCTCTCCTACACCATGTACTCAGGATAAGGGGAAGGGGAAACAGTCACGAAACACTAAAGCTACTTATGTCTTCGACTCGGAAGATGAGTTAGTTCATGAAGCCCAACGTTTGCTCCGCTCGAGAGCGGCCATTGATCCCACGATCCTTCAGGACTTCTCTTTGGTCAAGAAGGATCGTAAGGGGAAAGGTCGTGAAAAATAGCCCTGGATACTCAGTTCTGCCCACCTTTTGTTTCCTTTTGGTACAGTGAAGAGAAATGACACGGATATTTTGTTGGAACGTACGCGGATTCAATGACTCAGCTAAACAACGACATGTAAAGAACTGGATCACCGAGCAGAAGCCTGGCATCGGTAGTCTATTAGAAACTCGGGTTCGTGATGAAACCGAAGCTGCAAATATCTCACGACGTCTATTCACGGGCTGGTCATTTACTCATAATTATCAGTCTGCTGAACTTGGGCGTATTTGGGTCGTATGGGAACCGTCCATCTCTATTGTTGTCTACTCGGCAATGGATCAATGTATCACCTGTGGAGCTTACATTCCAGAATCAGGGACGTACATCACTATTTCCTTCATCTACGCGAGGAATACGCCGGGAGAAAGGCGTTCACTTTGGACTGAAATATCCAACCTAGCAACCAATCGCCTTATTGCTGATAGGCCGTGGTTGTTGGTTGGAGATTTCAACCAGATTCTCCGACCACATGAACATGCCTCTCCCTCAGTACCTTTCAGTCCGTCATTGGGGATGTTCGACCTGCAAGACTGCATTTTTTCGGCTGGCCTTTTTGATCTTACAGCAAGGGGCCAATTCTTCACCTGGACGAACAATAGCACAGACAATCCTATTACTCGCAAACTGGATCGAGCGCTTATCAACGAAAAGTGGCTACTTACTTTTCCAAATTCTTTTGCGAGGTTTGATGCCCCTGCACCTTCCGACCATTGCCCGACATTAGTGGATCTGTGCAACTCGAGTCAAATACGGCGAAAGACCAGTTTTAAGTTCTTCAAACATCTTCTGCAGCACAAAGACTTCCACAAGTTGATCACCCAGTGTTGGACTAGTATGTCTCCCCATGGTACAGCTATGTTCAATCTATCAAGGAAGCTGAAAGCTCTCAAGCCAATACTGCGAGGACTGAATCACAGGTGTTTTAGTTCCATTCAAATCCGAGCTAAACTTGCCATGGAGGCCCTTCACGAAGCTCAGTCCCGACTACTCACAAACCCTACCATGGCAGCAGCCAACTACGAAGCAAACCTACGTGCTACTTGGTCAACTTTGTCAGTGGCTGAAGAGACTTTTTTGCGGCAGAAAGCAAGAATTAAGTGGCTGAAGGAGGGAGATCAGAATTCTAAATTCTTCCACCGGGTGGTTCTATCGAGACAAGCGTCTAACCAAATTCGTTTCCTTGTTAATAATGCAGGTGAAAGGATTTACCAACTAGATGCTATGAAGCAGATGGCAGTGGATTACTTCCAATCCATACTGGGTTCGACCGACTCATCATTGATGTGCTGGTCGATTGATGAGCTTCGTGAGCTCTATAACTATCGATGTAGTGCTACATCCGTTGCCATGTTAGCAGAAGTGCCCACTGCTGAGGAAATTACTGCAGAGGTTTTTGCCATGCCACGTGACAAAGCACCAGGTCCGGATGGCTTTCCGGTGGAGTTCTTCATTTCTTGCTGGGATGTTATTGGCCCTGAGGTTATTGCGGCAGTTTTAGAGTTCTTCAGATCGGGTAAATTGCTGAAACAGTGGAATGCTACAATGATTGCTCTAATTCCGAAAGTGAGAAACGTTAGCAACATGAAGGATTTCCGGCCAATCTCTTGCTGCAACACTACATATAAAATCATCTCAAGGATCCTTGCAAAGAAGCTGAAACTTCTGTTGCCATCTGTTGTTCTCCCAAACCAGTCTGCATTCATCAAAGGTCGATCATTACTTGAGAATGTATTGTTAGCCACCGAGCTAATGGCTGGGTTCAAACCAAGGGGTCGCCCTCGTGCTGCCGCGCTGAAAATTGACTTATCCAAAGCATTTGACTCTGTGCAATGGGAATTCATCATTCGGATTCTGCATGCTTTGGGAGCTCCGGAGGTCTTTATTAATTGGATCTCTCAGTGTATTTCCTCGACTACGTTTTCCATTTCATTCAATGGTGAAACGGTTGGCTTCTTCAACGGCAAACGGGGGTTGCGCCAAGGGGATCCTATCTCCCCATATCTGTTTGTATTGGTGATGGACTCGCTATCAAGGCTGTTGGATCGAGGTGTTGCCAGTGGTGTAATTGCAGTGCCGCCAAAATGTCGCACCCCTCTGGTTAGTCATCTTTCTTTTGCAGATGATGTGCTCATATTTTCAGAATGTACAACCAGGTCTCTCTCCGGCATACTCACGATCCTGGAGGAATTTTATACTATTTCTGGACTTAAGTTGAACCGAGCAAAAACGGCTGTATTCCTTTATGGTGATGACCAGTCTGCAAATGAAGCTATCGCAGAAAATCTGGGCTTGGTGGTGGGACGGTTACCAGTCAAATATTTGGGACTTCCTCTTTCATCAGTCAGATTTCGGGAAAGGGATTGCTTGGTACTAAAGGATTGCATTCGGAACAGATTATGTGCTTGGACTTCGAAACATCTCTCTTTCGCGGGTCGACTACAGCTTATAAAATCGGTGATTTATAGCATCATTAATTTCTGGGCAGCAGCTTTTGTACTTCCTTCTGCATGTCTGAAAGACATTGAAAGAATGTGTTCAGCATTTCTGTGGTCGGGTGCTCCGGATTCGGCTAAAGGAGCGAAAGTTTCTTGGATATCAATCTGCACCCCGAAAACGCAAGGAGGACTAGGTTTGAAGAGATTGGTGGACTGGAACAAGGTCTTATGCTTGAAGCTAATATGGTCTCTATTTACCAAAGGGGGATCGTTGTGGGTTGCATGGGTTAAGCAAAACCTCATAAAGGGAAAACACTTATGGAGCATAAAACATCGAGGAACAGGCAGTTGGGCATGGCGTAAGCTTCTCAAATTGCGTACGCTTGCTGCCTCTTTTCTGAAGTGTCGGGTTGGCAACGGGGACACTTGCAAATTTTGGTTCGATAATTGGCTACCAATTGGACAGTTGTTATCATTCACCGGGGAATTGGGGCCTCGCATGCTGGGAGTTCCTCTATACTCCACGGTTGCCGAAGCCTGCTCTTCCTCGGGTTGGTTGTTACAACCTGCTCGGACTGATGTAGCAGCTACAATCCATCAATCCCTGCTGCAACATGCTCACCCATGCTCCAGTTCTGATTCCGACAGGTTTTTCTGGTCCGAAGCACACTCAGACGGCACCGTGCCGAGATTCTCCACCAAGAAGACCTGGTCTTGTATATCACCTCAGTCACCGCACGTGCCTTGGAGCAAGGAGATCTGGTTCCAATATTCTGTTCCGAAACACTCGTTTATCACTTGGCTGGTGGCTCGAAATAGGCTACCTAATCGTGACAGGGTAATCTCTTGGGGAAGGAATTCACCAAGCAACTGCTTACTCTGTCAAGTTGGCGTAGAGTCAGTCGACCACCTCTTCTTTGTCTGCCCGTACTCCTCCCGAATTTGGCAGCGGGGATTAGCCCAATCGCCCATTCGCCCACCGTTTCTAACTACATTCTTGGAGACCCTGTCATGGTTGAAGACTTGTACTACCTGCAGGCTTCTGAGAATCATGGTACTACTGTTTTTTCAAGCATCTGTGTACTATATATGGCTGGAACGAAATTGCAGGGCACATGGTGCGTCTCCTAGGCCGGCAGAGGTTATCCTTAAGGATATTCTCAGACATACTAGACGTAAAATATCATCCTTTCGACCTGATTTCATGGCTAATGCTGATGGTGATTCAATGCTGAGTATTTGGTTTCATTACTTTGACCGATTGTAATCCGCTTTTGATTTTGCGTATCAAATTGCGATGTAACTCGGAATTCTCTTCTGTATTTGGGCAGCGTACATATATACAAGTTTACCGTTTAACAAAAAAAAAAATTATTGCCCTTATAGTCTCAATCGTTTTGAAGAGAGAGAGAGAGTAGTGAATAGTGAATGTATAAAACGAGATTAATTGAATTCCGTTTAAAAAAAAAAAAAAAAAAAAAAATGGATCTGATAAGACAAGTTTAAAACTCGATTTGTTGGCGGCACGGAGAGTGAGTCGTGACCATTTGTAGATGACCCATGCCCATTTGGAAATTACAAACTATACGTGGGGTGTCTACGTTCTTTCCAATTGACCCCTCGTATTCTTCATATTTTCTACGATAACCCAAACATGAATATAAGCAAACGCAGTACCGGACAGTTGATTTATGTTAAAAATAACTTGAGAACAAGAACTGTGCACATGTCCCTTCACGCGTTTTAGGTCTTGTAAGGGTCACAAAGCTCGAGCGGTTTTCATCTGTGCTTTGATTCTGGCGATGAACTCTTCGGCTCTAGCATCAATCCCCTGAACCAGTGGGGAAGCCAGACCCATAGACTCCCACGCTTCGTCTGCATCATCGACCTGCAACGGTTTCTCGACATTCTTCTTCTCTTCCATCTGCGTGGGCCTGAAGAGCTTGTCGACGTAAACGACTGCATCGCGTTTCTTCTTGAACAAGCAAGCTCTCTTTAAGCGGAGGAGAAAAACACGTTCGCTACGGAGCTTTTTGAGATGGGTTTTACGAACAGCTGTTGGTCGTGTTTTGAGTCTGTTCTTGATGGGTTTGGATCTTTGAAGCTTCATGAGTTTGGAGGCAAAGCGCTTCCACGCACTCTTGGCCGGAGACAGCCTAATCCTCAGGCACGACATCGAGAGAGAGATGGTGATGAAAACTCACTCGGAGAACCAAAGATTTTTATAAAGGTCGTGTGGTGTGAATGTCATAGCTTAGTCTTAACGCTAGATAAGTAGAGAATGTGAAACCTTACACAAGAATATACCAAGCGAGCTGCTTAAATTGTACGCAGAGTTTTAATAACCATACTATTGCCATTTTACAGAAAATACAATGAGGGGGATGTCGTTTCTAAATGGGCCGAACGAGGAAGGAGTCAAGGCCCAAACAAAATGTCAAAAAGACGGAGAGGAAGAACCCTCGCTTTGAGGGAGAAGTTTCGCTACACGACAAGAACAGAAGACAGATTACTGCTAATCACATGCTTCATTGGCCATGGCGAAGCGTCGGGCCTGTCGGCGAGCAGCCGGCTCGGACACCATCGCCTGAATCAGCATCGTCTTCACCTGCCATGGCGTATAAGCGAACCTTTCTCTGGCATAGGAGTTGAGCAGAGCGGCTATCCCCTGCTTCAGCAGCGCACCGTACGCGTTCCCATCGTCGTCGTTCCTCGCCGCCGATTCCACCAGCGTCAGATCAGATCTCCACCTCTCCTTAGCCATCGCTCCGAACACCTTCTCCACCGTCGATCTCTCCGGCACCATTCTCGGCCACACCTCTCTCCTGCTGCTCCAGTACCTGCAAATCACTCGCCACCGCATCAGATCTGACTCCATCGACAAATTCAAAATCATTCCTTCCCCCAGTAAACGGAAAGTAAGGGAGATTACTGGGGAGTGCATCGTCCTCTGTGTCTGGTGTAGAAGAGACCAGGCCGAGCCGCCGTGGAATCACCGGAGACGAAGCAGAGTACGAACAAGGCCACCAGAGCGAAGCTCAGAGAAGGATTTGCCCCCATTTGAATCCTAAAACAGCATACTCTACTCTCGACTCCGTCTTGTCCGAGAAATCGCTGTCCAGTATCCGAGTTTGCTTGAGACTTGGGGTTTTTCATTTCCAACCTTCTGCTTCCTCGGAAAGCGAGACGGCTGCTTGGACAGTATTGCCCTTCCATATTCAAATTAATAGGCCTCTGATACGAACGCCTTTAGTGGGGGGTACAAAGGTCATTCCGAAGGAGGTGCACGTGACGCGTGTGAAGATGTTCCCGCATCACGTGAGAAGGCCGCGTAAAGGTCGAAATGATTGATTATATATATTCGTGAAAGTGTCGAAATCGAACGGAGCAGCTCATTTATTTCGCAATTAAATCGAATTGTGACAGCATTGTTATAACATTAATGAGGTCGGGTCGTACCACAAACATTTCTCTAATGCTTGATACGCCGTTATTTGTTGGAGCATTTGTTTTTCAGATTATGGGCTTCCTTAAAGCCCACATCATTTTATACGCCTAACTGTCAGCCCAATACATTATAGCCCAGTCCGATGGATCACATATGTAACATATAATGGGTTTTGATCTTCTCTCTCCCTTTTAAAAAAAAAAAATACAACGCTTGATTTACATACATTTTTTTTAATTACAGTGATCTTTTTACCCGTTATAAAAAGAAAATGTTCAAACTATAAATTGAGTAAACTAAAATGCATATAAAAATGTTCCATTTTTAGTTTTATGTTCATATATTGATATATATATATATATATTTTATGATGTTCGGTTGTAGAAACTCTCCTATGCATACTGATATATAATCCAAAAAACTTATTGATAAAGTGACATTTTGAAATTTTAATATTAAGATGCAAGGACTATTTCGGGGTGAGAATTTAGTCTCGAATCCATTAACTATGTTTCGGTTTGCTTTGGTATTATATCAAAAATAAGAGTATGGTTCAAAATTAAAGATATCGAACGGTTTAAAAACAGTTTAGTTCGATTCGGTTATTTTTATTTTTTATTTAAAAATATTAAATATTAAAACTTATTAATGGTATGCATTTTGTGTCTTAAAATAAAGAACAATATTTATAATTGGGTCTCATATAAAACCATTAAAATTTATTAATTTATTTGTTTTCATTATATTAAAGTTCTCAAAATAAACTCAGCCTTGACTGTTCGTTGGTCGGATGATAACAATATCATGTCGAGTAGTAATTTCCTCGCGTGATGTCAATGCCAGACTGTACATCTTTTTCACTACGCGTTGATTTCCCTGATTCGGTAATTTCCGCAAACAGACAACAAATGGACTTCAATATAATATCTAGCTAGTTGTGAAAAATCGTGTTTGAATGACACAATCCTTCTAAATCGGTTCTGTCCTTTTATGGGTGCAATTACCTCACACAAAAGGATATGATACATTGTCCACGTAACCTTCCGTGCATTCACTTATTCATGGTTAGGATATTATTCCATTTTATGTGCATATGTCCATAAATGCCCCGACCATTGTTGGAAACATGCCCAACGGAATACCAACTCACATTTTTCACAGCCCATGTTCATATAGACCTCTGCCTCTGCCTCTCTTATATACCTAAACCCCAATACACACACAAACACGTTCACTCCAATATGGATGAATCAATCACTCTCGCTTGTTTTCTCTTTTTGGTCCTTGTCGTACCGTCCATTAAATCTGAAGACATGGCCCCGGCCCCGGCCCCGGCCCCGGCCCAGATCAAAGCAGCTCCGATCAATCTCACGGCGATTCTCGAGAAGGGTTCTGAATACTCGACCTTCATCCACCTCTTGAACGCCACCCAAGTCAGCGTTCAAGTAAGCATCCAACTCAACAGCTCGAATCAGGGCGTCACCGTTTTCGCCCCTACCAACAATGGTTTCACCAACCTTAAACCTGGGACCTTAAACGGTCTCTCGAACCAGCAGCAGATCCAGCTCATGCTTTATCACATCATTCCAAAGTATTATTCCATGAGTGATCTCATCTCTGTTAGTAATCCCGTGAGAACTCTTGCCACCGGACAAGACAGCGGAGACTTCAGGCTGAATTTCACTGGACAGAGCAACCAAGTGAATATCTCGACCGGTGTTGTCCTGGCGCACGTCAACAACGCGTTGAGACAACACTTTCCGTTGGCGGTTTACATGATGGAGCAGGTGCTTTTGCCGCAAGATATGTTCGGATCTCCGCCGCCCGAAACCAAGGCTCCCTCCGCTTCTCCGACAGCTCCGGCGCCTGAAAAATCACCTTCCGACCATGCCGATTCTCCGGACTCTGACGAGCCTCCGGCCGCCTCCGAGGAGCCCGAGTCTGGTTCAGGAGGAAGGGGAACTACTACCGGGTTCGGTTTGGTTCTTGGTCTTGCATGGTTTTGTTTTGGGTTGCTTTCTTGATGAACGTCCAAATGCCATAAAATAAAACATGTATTTTTTTTTTCCATCGTTATCTATCACTATATTACTGTCTGTGATCCAATAACATAGTTGTTTTTCCCTCATGATCTACTTAAGTTTTTAAAGAGTGTGATTCTGATTTTCAATTTTTTTTTTTATAAATATTATCTTTATTCCCTTTTATAGTTTTGCAAAAATTAGAATATAGATTTTCTTTTTCACTTAGCAAATGGAATATGGATGCCATTCCTCTACTATATGGTATTAAATTTAAAATCTTGTTTTAGTATTATAGTTTTTAATGGTTTCATTTATATTATGCGATGATAATATTGTTTTGGCGAAACAAATTCTTCTCAATTTACTTAGCTCATATGACACCGGTCAGAGGAGAAGCTCTTCGGTTTTGGGCTTAGGGCCCACAAAAGAAATTAAATCTCCATGCCGGCCCAAATGTTATGGACAAACGGGAAAAAAAAAATGCTTCAGCGTCCCAAAATCTCGAAGAGTTTTCATGCCCTTAAACCCTAACCCCTCACATCGTTTAGATCCTTCTCTTCACCACGACATTCTCAGAAGCTTCAGGTGCGTTTCTCTCCATTTCCCCGAAATCAACCCTCTATTAGTTCGTTCTAGGTTTGGTTCTCAGTAAATTCGTTAGAGGACGAGTTGACTTGCATATTTCTGATTTCTTTGGCTCGATTTTGGATCTAAGTTTCCCCTTTTTGTACTAAGGTCAAGACCTTGGTAAAGTTTTTCAGCTAAGCTGCAGATTAATCGTTGTTATTGTGTTGGAAGTCCCATTTTTTCTCTTCACTTTACGGTTTTGTTCGGCAACCAAGCAGGGTTTAATTTCATTTCCTTTCCTTTAGCCCCTGACTCTGTTACTTGATGCTCCAGGCGTGTTGCGTTCATACTATTGATTTAATTTTGATGGGAATTGACGACTGTTTGTGGGTTTGGCTTGGCATAATGGAATTTCGAATTTCGTTTTAACATTTGCGTATATAGAAAAAATGAATTTCAACAACGTCAAAGTTCCGAAAGTGCCTGGTGGTGGTGCCGTCTCTGCGTTGCTCAAGGTTGGGATTATTGGCGGAATCGGACTCTACGCTGTCACACACAGTCTCTACAACGTGGATGGAGGACACAGAGCCGTCATGTTCAATCGTATAGTTGGTATCAAAGACAAGGTTAGTATGTTCTTATGAGCTTCATCATTTCCTCCATTTTATTTTCCTTCAAATTTTAATCCCTTTACAGATGACATTGACGAGCATTGTTGATGCTTGAGCATTCTGGTTGTGGTGTTAGATGAACTCTCGAGTTCGATTTTTCAGTAAAATCGTTTCTGAGCTCTTGTCATCCCTTTTTATCTACTTAATTCATTTTCTGTATTGTATGGTGTTCTTGGGCGTAGTTTTGATCTATAGTTTGTAGTATTTATCGCATAATGTCTGCTATTTCCCTCATGTAGGTCTACCCTGAGGGTACACACCTTATGATTCCGTGGTTCGAAAGACCAATCATCTACGATGTTCGTGCACGACCCTACCTGGTTGAGAGTACATCCGGAAGCCGTGATCTCCAGATGGTACACTGCTTCATTTTGTCCCTCTGAAATTACTTATATGCTGCTATATGATGAGTTCGCCCGGAGTGCCTGCTGAGTCTTATCTTTCGGCATGCATATGGACAGACATCATCTTTTTCTTGATTCTACCATCCCATCTTGTCATTATGTTATGTGTAAGATCGCTATTGCCTCCAATTGCTTCATACACTTGTGTTTCATGGTGAAAAAATTGCAGGTGAAAATTGGACTTCGAGTTCTCACCCGTCCCATGGCTGACCAGTTGCCCCAAGTCTACAGGACCCTGGGCGAGAATTACAGTGAGAGAGTTCTGCCTTCTATTATACACGAGACTTTGAAAGCAGTGGTTGCACAGTACAACGCGAGCCAGCTTATAACTCAAAGAGAGGTATCTGTCTGTTATCGTTTTCTCTGTGGAACTGATCGTTATGGATTGGATTAGTAAGTTTGGTCCTTTCTTTAGAATGTGAGTAGGGAAATTCGGAAGATTCTGACAGCAAGGGCGACAAACTTCAACATTGCGTTGGA